TGTAGTGGTATAGAGACCATGTGATTATATTCTGGTCATTGAGATGTGGGAAAAAGTGAAGTAGAACACTTTCAGGCCTGGTCCTTAGCGATATTTTACCTGATCATCACCTGCTCTTCTCTTGTACTAGTAGTCTTAAAGGCCACTTGTTCTAAATGGCATAGCTACAAGATGAAAGAGAACTACCTAACTCATGCTAGATTTTTTTTTCCTGTGGCAAATAATTTTATTATTTTTAATTTTATTAAATTGTTGAGATTTGTTGAGGTTAATAAAATTACATAAGTTTCAAGTGCACAATTCTATAATGCATAGTGTATATATTGTATAGTGTCTTCAGCACACTAGATTTTTCATGGGAAAAAATCTTATTGTATAAGGTCACTATAGTTTTTTTTTTAAATTGAAGTTTACTTTATTGCATTTCACAGATCTTGTGCTTCTTTTTTAATTTTTATTTTTTTTAATTTTTATTAAATTATTATATGTGTACATGTCTTACTATTGCCCCCCACCCCACTCCCATACATGCCCTCTTTCCCCAGAGTTTTGTATCCATTGGTTATACTTATATGCATCCTTCGGTTCATCTCTTATCTCCCCCATATCTCTCTCCCCTCCCCACTGTAATTTGACAGTCTGCTTGTTGCTTTACTATCTCTATATCTATCTTTTGGTTCATCAGTTTATGATGTTCTTATTATCCATAAATGAGTGAGATCATGTGGTGTTTCTTTTTCATTGACTGGCTTATTTCACTCAGCATGATGTTCTCCAATTCCATCCAGATCGTTTCAATGATAAGAATTCCTTCTTTTTTACGGCAGCAAAGTATTCCATTGTATAGATGGACCATAGTTTTTTGATCCAATCATCTGCTGACGGGCACCTAGGCTGTTTCCAAATCCTAGCTATTGTAAATTGTGCTGCTATGAACATAGGGGTGCATATATCCTTTCTGATTGGTGTTTCTAGTTTCTTGAGATATAATCCTAGGAGTGGGATTACTGGGTCAAATGGGAGTTCCATTTTCAGTTTTTTGAGGAAACTCCATACTGTTCTCCACAGTGGTTGCACCAGTTTGCATTCCCACCAGCAGTGCCAGAGGGTTCCTTTTCTTTGCAACCTTGCCAACACTTGTCATTTGTTGATTTGTTGATGTTGGCCATTCTGACAGGTGTGAGATGGTACCTCATTGTTGTTTTGATTTGCATCTCTCAGATAATTAGGGTCACTATAGTTTTAAGGTAATTTGTTAATATAGCATAGCCCAGAGGATTCACCTCTTCACCTAATGAACTCTGGCATGCATATACAGGTGTGTGCATGTGGTCATAAATAAATGTCCCTTTGGGCACTGAGGGCTTTGGTTTAGGCAGAGTCCATTAGCAATGTGTATAGGATAGGCAGAATTTCTAGTCCACTTAACAAGTAACTAACTATATGTCCTTGGGCTCTTCTTGTTTTGTTTTTACATCAAGACAAATGAGGAGTCCCATTATTTCTCTCAATAATTAGGGCTCTTGTGAAAGTAGATGAAGAGAGTGCTTTGAAATGGTGAAAATACTCTGCAAGTATTCAATCTCATGAAGTTGACCTTTCTATATTTTCTTTTCTTTCTTATGTGGAGGAAAGAGAGGAAAGAAGTGGAATATTCCTAGATGATTAAAAGGCATTTTTTAAAAGCCAGCTGCCTGAAAGCCATTTGGTCTTGCCCTCTCTTTTAAAGCATATCTCCTAATACCAGTGCTATGCTAAGACATATTAGAGACTGAGGCAAAATGAAAAATCAATGATACTTGCTATATTTGTTTAAAATGATATTTTGTTCATAGTAAAATTTTTGCATTGATTTTTAAATGATATTATTTACTTTGTTTACTAATGTTTTTGGTGCCTCCTTAACTTTTGTACCTAAGGAGAGCGGCTCACTCACCTTGCCCAAGCTCTGGACTTGCCTAGTGACAACCTGTTCTGTTGCCAAAGTTCCTTGCACTCATCATCCCAGGAGTATTCCGTGGGATGTTCTACCCTGTGAATTTGCTCACACTGATCCCCTTTCCTGAAGAGTGTTCCCATCACCTTTCCACCCCAACCTCTGTCTAAACTAACTGTCACCTCCTCTGGGAAGTCACTCTTGATTCACTCCACGTAAGTTATGTTGCCTACATCGAATCCCCATGGCATCTTATCTACATCTTGCTTTGGAGTTTAGGCCTTGTTATATTATAGAATGTATACTTATCTATTAGGCTGCACATTCCTTATAGACAGGCATTGTGGTGTTTTTTTTTTTTTTTTTTGAGGGCTTTGTTTCATTTTGTATCTCTTGCTCTTTGTTTAGAACTCTTTATACAATGATGAATCAATGAACTATGTGGTCTTACTTTCTCTTGTTTCTCATTTCCTTTTCTAAATTGGGACATGTTGAAATTCAGTGACTTAACAAAATACTTATGAATTTGGGGCTAAAAATACTTCAGTGTCAAAGATGCAGAGAGCTGGCAAAGGTCATGCCAACAAGAGCTTGCCAATTTCTCCTCTGGGCAACATCCCAGACTATTGTTTTCCCTATAATTTCATTTGCTTTTAAGGAGAAAAAAAGGGGTAAACCTAGTAAAACACCTGACCCACATGGAGGGCTAAGTTAGAAGAAATGCTGGGTCTTATTGAGGTCTCTGTAGAGTCCCCAGTGCATCCACCAACAAAGCCTTGTGTTTGCAAAATACCCCTCTTCTAGGATATGGCTAGGCTGATGAGAATGGCAACAGGCACCATTTCTGACGTTGTTATGTTAGGAGAAGTTAAAGCTGAGGTATCTCACTCCTCAAGGGACTGTGCAGAACTGGGGCTCAGAGCTTTTAGACTATACTCAGTGTGTCTTAGGGCTTTGGGAGTTGGGACAGGGAGTTGAGATTACCATATGCAATAATTGCTTTTCCTTAGAGACCACTTTAGCATCAATTGGGGACTTCAGAGCTTTTGTAGCAACTGTTAGTGTCTTCTTCATAAGGGAATTGTGTTAGGGCCAGGAGCCCATAGGAAGAGGCTGTTCTCCAACATCTGCTATTCCATCCTGAACCTGCACAAAACCCACAAGTGAGGACTGCGTATTAACCAGATAGACCAGGTCTCAGAAACAGAAATATTAAGGAAACACAGAGAAAAAAAATGTTTGACAGATTAGTATTGAGAAAGATATGGCACACGGACCGACATTCAAACAGATTTGACATTATTGTCCCCATGTTGATTCACTGAGGAGAGTGTAGGAGAAGGTGGAAGGGCACGAAGGCCTCAAGAGATTAGGTAACTTGCTCATCATTATAACTGAGCAGGTATGGGAGGGCGAGAACCACTCAGACCAGCGGTTCTCCCCTACACACTTAGGATGCTTCTCCAAGTAGTGAAAGAGAAATGACCTTTAGAGATAGAGGAAAATTAGTGGACAAAGAGAGAAGAGGACTTGCTGGGTGAAGGTGAAGTGGAATTCAGGTGAGAATACTGATCCAGTTCTTTTGATTTAAGCTCAGTATGGATCACCAGATCCAATTTCTTTTATTTATCATCTTCTCCAATGTCAGTCCAACACTGGAATAGCTGCCAATAATGCTTTAAGATACTCAAATATCTTCTTTATCCTGCAACACTGCAACTCTACCAAAGGACTTCTGTCCATTAGACAAAAATCTCCATCAGCTTTCAGGTATGAATAGACGGGCAGAGCTGTTTATTTAAAGGTAGACATTTTATAAGTCCTGCTGGGCTGCTGGAGTAGATACATGATGAATGTGAAATTCTTTTATAAGATGAATAGTGCTTCTGTGGTAGTTTTGCTCTTAATGACAGCTCTGCCATGTACTGGTACAATGTTGGTCCGATTACTTAAACTCTTATTGTCTCAGTTTCCTTATCTATAAAATGAGGATTAAAAAAAGTGGTTTTGGGGATTAAATGAGTTAATACGTAGATCACTTAAAATAGTTTTGTTCTATGTGTTTCTGTTATTTAGTACAATACTAGTTCTTATAGAATTTTTTTTTTGTGTGCAAACTAAGAGACTATGATTAAGACAGCAGCTTTCTGTTAAGTAAGGCCATTGGTAAGTTGAGAATGGAAATATCAAACTAAATGAAATAGGAATTTGTAGGGGTGAAATAGACATATTTAGAGAAATTTTTAAATTAGGTGGTCCATGGAAAAAAAAACACAGGGCTACAGAGCTGCAAAAGTGTACATTTCCATAAGACAAGGGAGCAGGGAGCCAGCAGAAGTTACATTTCCATAAGACAAGGAAATTGGGAGAGGCAGCAGTTCCATTTACGAAAGAGGGAAACTGGGAATAGCCAAATGTCTATATTTACAAAATAAAGAAAGAGAGCCTTACAGTCCCATGTGAGGTTTGACCTATGTGATCAGGAGTTACTATAGTGAAAAAATCAAAGGGACTAGTGGCTAATCAGAGGGGATAGCGAGGCACAAAAACTGCAGCCTTTATAAACCGGGGGAAAAGGAACTGGGTGGGACTCTTTCCCCCTTCCCATGTGGGAGTCTGCTGTGAGACTCTTTCCCCTCCCCATGTGGAAATCTGTACTTGGTCTTCAATAAATTTCCATCTTTGCTATACCATCTTCTGTCCGGGGATTTCTTTCTTTGACTCGGTAGCCCTGTGTCACCTCAATAAATTTAATTTAAAAAAAGAGTGGTTACCTGAGTCACAAGGGATCACACAGTGAGTAATAAGTGTGGGAAAATATGTATTCTTATTCTAAAAATGTCTACCTGTATTGGTTTTCTTGATATACTAAAATGACTTTATGTCAGAGACTATCCTTAAAGGTATGAGCTAAGCCCAGTCATCTCTGAAGCCCCACACAGCATCTGGCATATTTTGTCCATAGTACATGTTTAATAAAATATAAACTAGAAATGCATTTAAGTCCTATTGATAGCTTCCTAACTTGTTTCTCATCCTAGCCCTCTCAGGTACCTCTGGCTTCATGGCAAAGAAGAACCTCACTTTAGTAACCGAATTCCTTCTTATAGCTTTCACTGACCGTCCTGAACGGGCATTCCCTCTCTTTCTCCTCTTTCTATTTATATATCTCACCACCTTATTGGGGAACTTGGGCATGATTATCCTGATCCATGTGGACCACCGGCTCCACACCCCAATGTACTTCCTTTTGAGTCACCTCTCTTTCATGGACATCTGCTATTCGTCTGTCACCGTTCCTCAGATGATGGCTGTGCTGCTGGAGCTGGGGGCAGCCTTATCCTACACACGCTGTGCTGCTCAGTTCTTCCTCTTCACCTTCTTTGGCTCCATTGACTGCTATCTTCTGGCCCTCATGGCTTATGACCGCTATGTGGCCGTGTGCCAACCCCTACTGTATGTCACCATCATGACGCAGAAGGCCCGTTTGGGTTTTGTGGCTGGGGCTTACCTTGCTGGTCTCCTCAGCGCCTTGGTGCGGACAGTCTCAGCTTTCACTCTCTCATTCTGCGGAGCCAATGAGATCGACTTTATTTTCTGTGACCTCCCTCCTCTGTTAAAGCTGACCTGTGGGGATAGTTACAATCAGGAAGTGGTCATCATTGTATTTGCTATCTTTGTTATCCCTGCCTGCCTGGTGGTGATTTTGGTGTCCTACCTGTTTATCATCGTGGCTATAATGAGGATCCCCTCAGCTGGAGGCAGGGCCAAAACCTTCTCTACCTGTACCTCCCACCTCATGGCTGTGTCACTCTTCTTTGGCACCCTCATCTTCATGTACCTGCGGGATAACTCAGGCCAGTCCTCAGAGGAGGATAGGGTGATGTCTGTGTTCTATACAACTGTCATCCCTATGTTGAACCCTCTCATTTACAGCCTGAGGAACAAGGAAGTGAAGGAGGCCCTGAGGAAAATTCTCAACAGAGCCAAGTTGTTCTAACTATCCCCTACCTTGGGCAGTCCTGAGAATCACCTCCTCTATAAGTGCCAGCATTCTGGTTACATTGTTTATAGCACACTCAATGTTTAAATGAATGTGCCTTGGTAAAAGGACCAGAAATTTTAGTTTCAGTGAGAGAAAGGGAGAAAAGGAAGAGGCAGCCTCAGAAGAGAGATTATGGTGAGAGCTTTAACTCCCAGGAAAAATGTCAAAAGCATCTGAACTTAAATCCTATGTGATCTAGTTGTGACATACTTCACAGGTCTATGACTATAAAACACAATTACATTTTTTTGGAAAAATTTCCTATGAAATATTTACATAATAGACATATTGAAATAAGCCCAGCTGGTGTGGCTCAGTTGTTGAGCATCAACCTATGAACCAGGAGGTCATGGTTCGATTCCTATCAGGGCACATGACGGGGTTGCAGGTTCAGTCCCCATTGTTGGGCTTGCAGGGGGCAGCTGATCAATGATTCTCTCTCATCACTGATATTTTGCTCTCCCTCTCCCTTCCTTTCTGAAATCAATAAAATATATTTAAAAATATTGAAAATAATGTAGAGTGTATCTCCTAAACTCAATACTTAGATTCACAACTCCTAATATTTTGTCATATTTGCCTTACCACATATATATAAAATCTATTTATTCATTTATCAAGCCAACAAATTATCCATCAATATGCTTTACTTTTTGATACATTCAAAAATGAATTGCAGATATTGGTATTAGTACTCTTCACCCCTATATACTACAGTATAATATCATCAATTAGAATTCAACATTTAGATTACATTTATTTTTAATGATTAAATTAAGGTAGTATTCTGATGGTCCAGTTAATAAAGCTCACCCTGATCAAAGTATTTTTCAGACTCTTGTGCTAGTTCACCAGTGATGCCTCCTTTGAATCAGTAAAAAAAAAAAAAAAAAAAAAAGTCCACAATAACATGTCTGTGTATTACTATCCGGATAGAAATATCTCTGTTCTTTCTTCTTCTCCATCTGTTCTATCTCCCACTCATCACATGCTTTGCCTGAATGTCCATTTGGTCAATTTATACCATTACCACTGCTTATAATAGTATCTGCAGTGTCCGTACTGTAGATATCATCACACTATATCCTTAGCTTTTGTTCTTGGGAGGCAGAACATTGCTGCATTCCACACAGAGTTGGGCAGGAGGGAATCCTGGCCTGCACAGTGTCACTGTACTCTGCAAGAGCTCAGCCTGTGGCCAAAGCCTCCCAGAATCTGATGGCTCACTTCTCTAACTGTAGGTGCCTCAATCAAACTCAAGGTACTGGAAGGAGCAGGTCTCATCTACTCATTCTGTTCTGTTCTTTCTTTTATCCTTATTCACAGAACTCAAACTCCTTTTCTTCCTGTTCCTTGCATTAGCAAAACACATGATCCCAGGTACATGAATGATATAAACCCCCCAGCAGCTTATTTCATCTGGGGATGAAGTAAGGTAGGTTCACTGTTATCTATGACACAGAACTGCCAGGCTCAGCCATTGGACTCACTTTACAACTGGAGGAAAAGTCGTTCCTTATAATTCCCAGGGGATCCATCTGGATGGATGGTGCTCCCCTCTGGCTGCCTCCCAGCTCCTTTCCCAGTAGGAATCATTGTTCTTGGGGCAGCCAGTCTGACAGAGACTTAAAGGAGCCAGATTCTGAGATGAGTCATTAGGAGATGCCTTTTCTTGGAAGGGTTACTGCTTTGCTCTTTGGCATTTGGACAACTGCTAAGATTTTTTAGAGCTGTGCTGCCTAAGTGGCATCCTTTCCTAGGAACTTTAGTTCTGCAGCATGCTAATCTACTTTCAGTGAAAAAAGAGTACATTTGGTCAAGTATTTTTGATAAATAGTGGGTTAAAAAAAGTTAACAAGGTTTCTTCAATATAGCACTTTATAGACCCTTTAAAATGATGAAATGAAACACGATTTTCCATGTGGGGATATAACATGCAGTGATTTTCAAACTTATGAGAACAATCAATTTATTATCTATCTAAGACACCTGGAGGAAATAAGACTTTGCAAGGTAGGAGCCATTTGTGATGGTACTCAAACCTTACTGCACATTGCAATTATCTGGGGACTAAAAAATTCTTATGTTTGGCTTCTACACTCATTCTGACTTAATTGTTATGGAGTACATTCTGAGCCTTGGGATTTTTTTTTTTTTAATTCTCACTTGAGGATATTTTCCCATTGATTTTTAGAGAGAGTGAAATAGAGGGAAAAAGACAGAGAGAAATATTGTTCTGAGAGAAACACATCAATTGGTTGCCCCCTGCATGTGCTCTGACCAGGGCCGAGGTCGGGGAAGAGCCTGCAACCAAGATACATGCTCTTGACTGAAATTGAACTGGACTATTTGGTCCACAGGCTGACACTCTATCCACTGAGCAAACCGGTTAGAGCTGAGCCTTGGATTTTCAAAGCTCCACAGCCCAGGTCATTCTGATTTGCATCAAAGTTGAGAACCACTGCCCTTGACTCTTCTTGTCTTGTGTCATTCTCTGAATAGACTTAGTCAACAGGCCATTGACCTAGTTCAAGTCATTGTTTTACCAACAAGTAGCTGCATAACCTGCTCTGTATTTACATTTTAAAATTTGTAATACTGAGAACCATCAAGCCTACCCTGACTAACTTGTCTCTTGTGAGGAAGGGAGGTGCTAATGGGACTTAGAAGGAATCATGCTCTTCAAGAACACATCTTTAATATTTTTGTTTACAGTACAATGCACAGGAGGTCAAACAGAGTTAGAGCTCCTGAGAACACTTCCCAAGGCATTGTCTCAAGATATAATTTCTTGGCATTAGCTGTGCCAAAACCACCTGGGATGGCCATTAATCTAGATGCCTTGTCCCATAGCAGACACTGCATCAGAATTTATGGGAGTGGGATGATAATATTCGACTTTTCAGTAAATTCTTTGGGTGATTCTTATACACAGTTACGTTTGAGAGCCAGTGCTCTGGGGGAGAGGTTGGTCACTATTAAGAATTTAGATGGAACTGGAGAGCATTATACTAAGTGAAATAAGCCAGGCAGAGAAAAATAAATATCACATGATCTCACTCATTTATGGAATATGAGAACAACATAAACTGATGAACAAAAATAGATCCAGAGCCAGAGAAACATCAACTAGACCATTAAACTCAGAAGGAAGGTAGGGAATGGTGGGGATAGGGGTAGAGATCAACCAAAGGACTTGTATGCATGCATATAAGCCTAACCATGGACAAAGACAACGGGGTGGGGTGGGGTGGGGAAGGGTGTGTGAGAGTATGAGGAGGGGGGTGTAGGGAGGTAATAGGGGAATAAGGACACATACAAACAAAACAAAAAAAGAATTTGGGCAGTTTGCCTGGTAGAAGTCTGTTCATGACCTGCTCACACCTGCCTTTCCATCATTTCATCTCATGATTCCTGCACTTGCACCATCATGTTTTTGGAATTACCCATTACAGTGTGTCTCAATAATGAGAAGCAAAAGCTTCTGCCAATAAAACAGCCTCCTTTTGGGATCCATTTGTGCCAGCCAGGGTACCATTGTGCAAAACCGTTGACTAAATTTCCAAGCAAGATATAGAAAACATCAAAGAAATTCATTTCTTTTGGCACAAGGCAGAGATAAGCCAAAAGTAGAAACTAGCCCCATGAGGCCCTGCTGAGTGATGACAGGACATGGGATGGGGGCTTTGGGAGTTTGAAATAAAAAAGTATAAAATTCAAAGATATTAAATGACTTGTTTGGAAGTCACATGAAGATAAATTGCCTGTCCTTGGAGACTCACCTTAGGAACCAATTAGTGAGCAGTGCTGGTGCAGTTACTATAAGAAGCACCACCAGCAAGGTCTAGTGCTGAATCAGAAGCTCAGTGAAAGAAGCTGGGTCCCTAGCCCTATGATCCTGGGCTGAGTCTAGAAAAAAAAATAGAAAGAAAAAAAGATCCCAGAGAACTATAGTGTCAGGGATGTACTGTTTGTGAAGGGTGAGAAGAAAGAGAGGGACTCCATGAAGTGAGAATAGAACATAGAGGTTCTGGGAGTGACCCCATCTCAAGCAGATTGCTATGATGAATATCTCATACTGCATTGTTCTTTATTGAAAGGGAACAGAGATAAGGCAGTCAAAGTCCAGAGAGGAAAAGTGATTTGTCCAGGCTCACACATCTAGTGTGGGTGATATAGAATCCAGATCTCCCCTGGGTCAGCAGGTCACCAGCAGAAGAAACGCTAAACAAACGAGGAAACCACTAACAAAGTGAAATCCAGGTGAGGATGGTTCATGCCCAGCTCATGGCTTCCAGATCTAATTTCTTTTATTTGTTACCCCTAAGGTGTTAGCTGGTATTGATCTGACTGATGTTCTATCAGGTAATGAAACTTGATCAAAACATTTTTTTTTACAGCCTATTATAGAACTCTATTAGGATCTATAGGTTCCTCCAAAAACAGAGCTATCTCTGCTTTCAAATTCAGATGCCATTTCTCATGATACTACTGCTTTTATTAAGACTGCGAGGACACCCAGGCTATGATTATGGAGCTTCGTTAGGGGCTACAATGAGCTAATGTTTGCTCTTGATTTCAAGGTTAATGCTAGTATTTCCAAAAAACAAAAAAACAAACACAAGCCAGCCAGCTCTAATTAGTATAACAGCTGTTTGTTAAACATTCATGTTGATTGAAAATAGAAATATTTCTAAAAGCAGAGCCCATTGCTGATTGCTAATGTTTTTTTGTTTTTTTTTTGTTCATGCTCTTTTGTTCATAGCATATACATTTTCCTTCTTTAAAATGTTCATTTAAAAATTTAAATAGCCACCATATCTATGTGGAGTGCCTTTAGCTTTCCAAAGCATTTTCTCATCTGTTTTAATCTAGTCATTAACCTTATCTCATAAAGCAGAGCGGATGTTATGATTCCCTTTTGGCAGAAGAGGAAATTGAAGTTCAGAGAGGTT